TAGAAGGCAAAGCAGGGCCAGCCCTGGTTAGGACCAGTGTTCCCTTCTAAGCTGAGTTAGTGTGAGATAGCTCACCGTTTTTTAGCCTCCAGCTCACACATTTTTGTCTTAACTCAGGAAGGAGGGCTCCAGAGCAAACACAGGCCCCGGTCACACAGGCCGGATATCGCGGGGGGGAGGCGTGGCTAATTGCACCGGCGCAGTTTGATCCGCGATTTCGCGATCAGACGAGCTGGCAGCACACCAAGGGTCCTTCCCTTGGCGCCAGTGGGTAAACGAGGGTGGTGATCACACGACGATCCTGCAGACTTGGGGGGAAAAAACCTGTTTGCGAAGGGACATGGGCGGGTGCCGGATGCCACCACCGGAAACGCGATCAGACGCCCGCCCTTGCCCCGCGGTTTCCGGAAACTAGTACCTCGGAGGTACTAGTTTTTAACTCCGCATCTTCGGCGGGAAGCCTCGGGTTCGCCACGGGAGCTCTACGCTTCCCAGATGTTGCGGTGTGATCGCGCCCAGAAAATCCGCCTATCTTCCGTCTCTGTAGCGTGGCTAATTCTCCGTGGGACCGCAGCCTAAGTTACGCAACAGACAAATTGCTTGCTCACAACTTTAATGCCGGTAGCTCACAAAGTAGAATTTTTGCTCACAAGACCCCACAGCTTAGAGGGAACATTGGTTAGGACTTGGGTGGGAGACCTCCACGGCAGCCCAGGGTTGCTACGCAGAGGCAGGCTGCGGCAAACCACCTGTCTTAGTCTCTGGATGGCCTAGGCCAGCCTGATCTCATCAGGTCTCAGGAGCTGAGCAAGGTCGACCCTGGTTAGGACTTGGGTGGGAGACCACCAAGGAAATCCAGGGTTGCTACGCAGAGGCAGGTAATGGCAAACCCACCTCTGTTCATCTCAGAAGCCGAGCAGGGCCAGTCCTGGTTAGGACTTGGGTGGGAGACCTCCACGGCAGCCCAGGGTTGCTACGCAGAGGCAGGCTGCGGCAAACCACAACACAGCCCACCTGAGAAGACTTTATAGTCTGGTTTACGGCCTAGCCGCTCCAGTTTTCCCAGAATGCTGTGTTTGTGATTTACAGCGCCAGCTGCTCTCAACCTATAATTTCTTGTTTTTAAACTGTCTTAACTATCGTTATATCATTTGAGGAGCTGTGGCTCAGTGGCAGACCCTCTGCTTGGCGTGCAGAAGGTCCCAAGTTCAATCCCCGGCATCTCCCGTTAAAGGACCAGGCAGCAGGTGGTGGGAAAGACCTCCGCCTGAGACCCTGGAGAGCCTTGTAACTGACCCAAGGTCACACCAGCAGTGCACGTGGAGGAGTGGGGAATCAAACCCGGTCCGCACTCCTAACCACTACACCAAACTGGCTTACCAAACAGAAGCAGAATAAATTGTGCAATTCAGTACATCTAAACAAATCTGCATCTGGTATGCAAATGAAGTAAAATGGTGCTGTTTCTTTTGTATTTGTGCTTCCTGGGTTGTTGTTTTTTTTACTGAATTGCATAATTTATTCTGCTTCTGTTCAGTAAGCCAGTTTGGTGTAGTGGGGAGCTGTCAAGAGGGGCCGTGGCTCAGTGGCAGAGCCTCTGCTTGGCATGCATAAGGTCTCAGGTTCAATCCCTGGCATCTCCAGTTAAAAAGGACCAGGCAGGAGGTGATGGGAAAGACCTTCACCCTAAACCCTGGAGAGTTGAAAAGAGGGGCTGTGGCTCAGTGGCAGAGCCTCTGCTTGGCGTGCAGAAGGTCCCAGGTTCAATCCCCAGCATCTCCCGTTAAAGGACCAGGCAGCAGGTGGTGGGAAAGACCTCCACCTGAGACCCTGGAGAGCTACAGAGAGGGCTGTGGCTCAGTGGCAGACCCTCTGCTTGGCGTGCAGAAGGTCCCAAGTTCAATCCCCGGCATCTCCCGTTAAAGGACCAGGCAGCAGGTGGTGGGAAAGACCTCCGCCTGAGACCCTGGAGAGCAGCTGCCAGTCTGAGTTGACAATACTGACTTTGATGGACCAAGGCTCTGATTCACTACAAGGCAGCTTCCTGTGTTCATACCTGTTTTAATTTTTATTGCGGAATTGCTGCGGTAATCCGCTCTGAGCCCGCCTGCAGGGAGGGTGGAAGATAAGTTAAATAAATAAACAAGACGGGCAAGAAACGACCCTCTCAGTCATCATCATCATCATTGACCTTTATTGGCATAGCAACCGTCTCAGTCTTGGGTAAATTAGATGCCTTGCATCTACACCTCAGGCTGGGTAACTGGATGTGGGCAATTCAGATGCTGGGCACGGAGCAAGCTGGCTTTAGATAAAGGAGCTCTATGCTGCATCCTGCACTGGCTTCGTCTCATTTGGCTGAGAAAGACTCTTTCTTTCAAAAGGAAAAGCGCCGCATGCATTGTTTTACAGGCAGCCTTTGGCCCGATCTCGAGAATGTGTCTCCGGAAGAAACTAGAAACCACAACGACACCTGCACCAGAATGGCATAACAGATGTGGCACAGTTCTCCTATACTGTTTTCTTAAATGTCTAAAATCTTTTTAAAAAATTCTTAATCCTTTTAAAATCTTTTATATGGTGTACGGCTTATGGGCTTTTAAAACCTAATAAACTGAAACTACACCTGCAAAGTCGTCATCGCTAGTTCAGCTATTAGGGCTAAGGTACAACACACTCAGCAGAACCACATTCCTGGGTTTTCCCGTAGAGGAGAAGGAAGAAGAAATTGGATTTCTACCCCGCCCTTTACTACCCAAAGGAGTCTCAGAGCGGCTCACAAACTCCTTTCCCTTCCCCTCCCCACAACAGACACCCTGTGAGGTAAAAGAAGAAGAAGAAGAGGAGATTGGATTTCTACCCCGTCCTTCACTACCCAAAGGAGTCTCAGAGCGGCTCACAAACTCCTTTCCCTTCCCCTCCCCAAAACAGACACCCTGTGAGGTAAAAGAAGAAGAAGAAGAGATTGGATTCATACCCCGCCCTTCACTACCCAAAGGAGTCTCAGAGCGGCTCACAAACTCCTTCCCCTTCCCCTCCCCACAACAGACACCCTGTGAGGCAGGTGGGGCTGAGAGAGCTCTGACAGAAACTGCTCTTTTTCAAGGACAGCTCTTATCAGAACTATGGCTTGCCCAAGGTCATCCAGCCAGGTGCAAGTGGAGGAGTGGGGAATCAAACCCGGTTTTCCCAGATTAGAGTCTGCGCACTTAACTACCACACCAAACTGACTCTGGCTGGATTCACATTTTGGAGAGCTTCCATGTTTGGCATCAGTAACAGCTGTGAAAAGGATGGCTTATAGAGCTAAGCTCAACAGAACATGCATGTTCAGAGGCAGTCTACCCGCAAGGGCTTCTTAAAGGCACATGACCAGTCTGTGGGACAGACGGTGGAGGTGGACCTTCGGTCCAATCCAGCATGTCTCTTCTAATGTTCCCTGTTATCCTGCTTAACCAACGGCATACACCATAGCATTTCCGGTTTCCATCTTTTGGGCCCTTTCCCACGCTAACAACGCTCTTTCTCAAAAACGCAGAGTCAAACTGGATGTTACGGGTCTGACCTATGGCCACCATCTTTGAGAAGAATGTGGCCACTTAAAAAAATGCCTCGAGGGCCTCATCCTGATTGGGTCCACAGCACAGTAGAAAGGTGACCCCCCCCCCCCCGGGGCGTTTTCAGTTGCTGGAACGGGGCTGTCATGTCTAGCTGGGCCGTCAGCTGAAGGGCAGCTTATCCTAGTACTGAAATTCTTAGTTTATTTATTTTTTAATGGCTTTATGAGCCACGGTGGCTCAGAGGTTAAGACGCTGAGCTGCAGACCGCAAGGTCAGTAGTTCGGCAGTTTGAGACCCGAGTGCCACGTGACGTGACGGAGTGAGCTCCCATCTCTAGTTCCAGCTCCTGCCAACCGAGCAGTTCGAAAGCAAGAAATTGCAAGTAGATAAATAGGTACCACTTTGGTGGGAAGGTAACAGCGTTCCGTGCGCCTCGGCGTCTAGTCATGCCGGCCACATGACCACGGAAACGTCTCCGGACAGCGCTGGCTCCTCGGCTTGGAAATGGAGACGAGCACCGCACCCCTAGAGTCGGATTCGACTGGCTTTCGAGCGAGGGGAGCCTGTGAGCTGAAAGGTCGGCTGCGAGGGGCCCTCGTGCCTTAAATCAGTCAGCTCAAATACCGGAGCAGCTCTGGGACTTGAGCCGCGGCGTGAGGAGCCACCTCGGGCTGGGGCCCGGATTCAGAGGTGCCCTGCTTGGCGGGACAGCAAGATAAGCCTCCTGGTGTAAGGGCGGGGGTGGCGACAAAGGGGAAGGAAGGGCCACTCGGGGCGATGCTGGAGAGCAGACCCCGCCCCCCCCCACGGGGAACCCACGGCCAGCGCCTACCTCCGGTCGTCCTCGGCCATCAGAAGTGGCATCAGGGCAATCCGGGTCTCCAGATCCTCGATAGCCAGGCGCCTGAGGAGGAGACGGGATATTATTTCAGACAAGGCCTGAGCTGAAACGGCCCAAGACTGTGGCCCCTCAGAAAAGAAAAACCTGGCTTCCGGGAGTGGCCCAGTAGAGTCAGGTTGCCATGTACTCTCTCCCAGGGCTCTTTTTTGTAGCAGGGACTCCTTCGCCTATTAGGTGACACGCCCCCTAATGTAGCCAGTCCCCCAAGAGCTTTAACAGAGCTCTTCTTACAGGGGCTACTGTCAGCTCTTGGAGGATTGGCTACGTTAGGGGGCGTGTCGCCTAATATGCAAAGGAGCTCCTGCTACAAAAAAGAGCCCTGGGCGACACGCCCCCTAATGTAGCCAATCCACCAAGAGCTGACAGAGCTCTTCTTACAGGGGCTACTGTCACCTCTTGGAGGATTGGCTACGCTAGGGGGCGTGTCGCCTAATATGCAAAGGAGGTCCTGCTACAAAAAGAGCCCAAAGTACCCCAAGATAATAACAGAGGTGAACTCATGTGCAGTAACTCAGGGCTCTTTTTGTAGCAGGAACTCCTTTGCATATTAGGCGACACCCCCCCTAATGTAGCCAATCCCCCAAGAGCTTACTGAGCTCTTCTTACAGGGGCTACTGTAAGCTCTTGGAGGATTGGCTACGTTAGGGGGCGTGTCGCCTAATATGCAAAGGAGTCCCTGCTACAAAAAGAAAGCTCTCTGGGGCCCGACCTGGATGGTCCACGCTAGCCCATTCTCATCAGATCTTAGATAGCTGGGGCAAGGGATGCTCTGTATTCTTGGTGCTTGGGGGAGGGGGGCAACAGTGGGAGGGCTTCTAGTGTCCTGGCCCCACTGCTGGACCTCCTGATGGCACCTGGTATTTTTGGCCACTGTGTGTGTGACAGTGTTGGACTGGATGGGCCATTGGCCTGATCCAACATTTGGCTTCTCTTAAGTTCTTATGTCTGGGGCAAGGGATGCTCTGTATTCTAGGCGCTTGGGGAGGCAACAGTGGGAGGGCTTCTAGTGTCCTGGCCCCACTGTTGGACCTCCTGATGGCACCTAGTATTTTTGGCCACTGTGTGTGTGACAGAGTGTTGGACTGGATGGGCCATTAGCCTGATCCAACACTGGCTTCTCTTATGAAGAAGGGGAAGGAGAAGGAGAAGAGATTGGATTTATGCCCCGCCCTTCACTCAGAGTCTCAGAGCGGCTTACAAACTCCTTTCCCGTCCCCTCCCCACAACAGACACCCTGTGAGGGAGGTGGGGCCAAGAGAGCTCTTTCGAGGACTGCTTGTGAGAGAACAGCTCTGACAGAACTACGGCTTGCCCAAGGTCATCCAGCAGCTGCGAGTGGAGGAGTGGGGAATCAAACCTGGTTCTCCCAGATTAGAGTCCGCGCACTTGACCACGACACCAACTGGAAGCGAAGAGGGGTCAGCCCTGGTTAGTATCTGGATGGGAGACCAAGGGAGTCCAGGGTTATAACACAGAGGCAGGTAATGACAAACTGCTTCTGTTAGTCTTTTGCCTCGAAAACCCTACGGGGTCACCGTAAGTCGGTTGCATCTTGACACACACACCCCAAAGATCTCGGGGCTTACTCCCTTCCTTCAGCAGCATTACTTTTGAGGGAAATAAAGACGAATAGTACAATTCCCACCCAAAATGTACAGATCACAAGAATCAGATTGCCAAATCCTGCCCCGAGGGAAGAAATGTGTGCTCCTTATGTGATACGTGGCTTACCTCAAGAATGGGGTGTTTTGTTTTGAAGTACCTTCCCTTTGAGGAAAAGCTATGAGGTTTTTTGTGTAGAGAAAAAGACGAATGAGGAGCCATAACAGAAGCTCAGAAAATTACGTCTGGAGCGGAGAAAGCGGAGAGAACAAACCATTTATCTCCCTCTTTCAAAACACTAGAGAGCTTGGGGGGCGCAGCACGTTCAGGCAACGCTTCGCACCATGCGGAACTCACTGCCCCATGATGTAGGAACAGCCGCTAGCTCTAGATGGCTCTAAAAGAGATGAGACCAAGCTATGGACTTAAGCTTGCGCCTTCACTTTTGACATTCTTGACCTGATTCCCTCCTCTAACTTCCCCCCTTCACTCTCTTTCCTTCTTGTGTCTGTCCTTAATCTAAAATCTGGGACATAGGATTGAAATCCAGCCACTTTGTCCTTAGGGTCAAGAGCCTTCCTAGATATATATCCCCACCACCACCCCTTTTGATATTTTGTGCGGGTGCGCACGTACTTGCCAGATTCGGCCCCACTTAACTTCCGCGATCTGACGCGATCAGGCTTCCTTCGGCTCTCCAAGTCAGGGCCCTAGATATATTTGCTTGACCTTCCTTCCAATAGAAAGATGGGGGGGGGGAGTCCAGTTAATTTCCCCCCCTACCCCCCCTTCGCCAGGCTGCTCGGGGCTAGGACCCACATTTTGGCTAGCGGACATCTCCTAAGATCCCACCACGCCTGTCACCTGCAGTGTTCCCCCTAAGCTGAGTCAGTGTGAGCTAGCTCACAGTTTTTGTAGCCTCCGGCTCACACACATTTTTGTCTTTGCTCAGGAAAGGATGGCTCCGGAGCAAACTAATGTATGCAGCAGCCAAATCGCCCGCTCACAACTTTAATGGCAGGAGCTCACAAAGTAGAACTTTTGCTCACAAGACTCCACAGCTTAGAGGCAGCATTGCTCCAGAGCAAACTAATGTATGCAGCAGCCAAATCGCTCGCTCACAGCTTTAATGGCAGGAGCTCATAAAGTAGAATTTTTGCTCACAAGACTCCACAGCTTAGAGGGAACATTGCTCTAGAGCGAACTAATTTATGCAGCAGCCAAATCACTCGCTCACAGCTTTAATGCCAGGAGCTCACAAAGTAGGATTTTTGCTCACAAGACTCCACAGCTTAGAGGGAACATTGCTCCAGAGCAAGCTAATTTATGCAGTAGCCAAATCACTCGCTCACAGCTTTAATGCCAGGAGCTCACAAAGTAGGACTTTTGCTCATAAGACTCCACAGTTTAGAGGGAACATTGCTCCAGAGCAAACTAATTTATACAGCAGCCAAATCGCTCGCTCACAGCTTTAATGGCAGGAGCTCACCAAGTAGGAATTTTGCTCACAACACTATGGCAGGAGCTCACAAAGTAGGATTTTTGCTCACAAGACTCCACAGCTTAGAGGCAGCATTGCTCCAGAGCAAACTAATTTATGCAGCAGCCAAATCTCGCTCGCTCACAACTTTAACGGCAGGAGCTCACAAAGTAGGATTTTTGCTCATAAGACTCCACAGCTTAGAGGGAGCACTGGTCACCTGTACCATGGGCTGGGGTCAGGGAATGCATGGGCATCAATTCTCTCAGGAAGATGGTGCTCCTATATATAGGCAGAAGGAGGAATCACAGGCTGGGGAGGACAGAAGGAGGAATCACGAAGCTCTGCCGAACGTGTCTCGTGTCTCTCAACTTACTTCCGTTCTCGGTTCCACCTGACTATTTTAAAATAGCCGTACATCATAATCCCGATTCCAATGCCAAACAGGCTATAGCCTAGGCAGAAGAAAAATAAACAGAGAGGTTAGATTGGGTAGTGGCAGCAGGAACAGCTTCCTATTTATTTCCAACATCCAGGGGTCATTTCCTGCAGGAGCGCACAGGAGCGGAGCTCCAGCAATAAAGCGCCTAGGGGGCGGGCCCGTGCCACAAGCATCGCCCCCTGCTCCCAGCAACCCTGGGCCACGAGGAGCACAAGGATCTGCGCATCTTCCCCCATAGCTAGCAATCCAAAACAATCCTGTGGAGCCTGAGCAGTAGGTGTTGCCTTCTGACACACTTCCGGTGATGCCAGGGGGTGTGGCATATGCAAAAAAGTTATGCTAATGAGTTATGCTAATGAGCTCCTGCACCTCTTTTTCTACAAAATGACCCTACCTACATCTATATCCTGCCTTCTGTCCAAGGAGCTCAGAGTAGTTTAACATAAGGCTCCCTTCCTCCAGTTTACTTTCACAACAACCCCGTAAGATAGGTTACACCGAGAAACTGCAACTGGCCCCAAGTTCACCAAGCAAGCTTCATATAAGTTAAGTAGCCTTTATTGGCATAGAAAAAAATCGACACCAGTAAATACAGTTGGAAAAGGAAAGTTAAAACCGCAACATACATATACATCAGTGTAAATATGAGATGATTTCTGTGAGATCCCTTGGCGTACCTTCATAGCAGAGCAAAGAAACTTAGCCTCCTTCTCGGTGACATTAGAGGAGAAATCGTACAAAAGTCTATCAACCTTAAATGCATCAGAACAGTCCCTCATCCTAACTAGAACAGAATGTAAATGCATAGAACTTAAATCTGTACAGAGGTGACAATAGAGAAGAACCTGAGTGATTGAGTCCACACATTTTTGATTACAAGGGCAGGATCTGGCTGAGTAGGCTCTCTTCTTGAGTCTTCCATAAAAATAGCAGAAGGCGCAGCATTACGTCTGGCAAGGGGAAATGCTCTGCGCTGCTGGCCATAAAAATAGCAGAAGGCACGGCATTACGTCTGGCAAGGGAAAATGCTCCGCGCTGCTGTGGCATCTGCAAAGAAGGTAGCTATGGGGCCATTCCCCAGTAACGAGGGGAATCTCAAAGCTCAGCGGGGAGGGGCTTCATATAATTGCGGGGATTCGGACCTGGGTCTCATCTCCAACATTTCACTACATACTTATGCAAAGAATAGCAAACAGGCCCTCAAAGGTTACTAGCCGGCATGAAGAAGTGTGCTATCGATAGCTACTAGGCCACAATAACTTGGTCACGCCTCCTTTTGTGGCCTCTTAGCTCCTGCATGCTTCTTGTGCTGCCCATGATGGTCTACATGGGTACTCCCATTTTACTCTCACCTTAACCCTGTTGAGACTGAGAGAGACTGACCGGGCCGAGGTCATCTAGCAAGCTTCACAGCCGAGCGTGGATTTGAACCCAAGTCCGGCTCACTGTATATTATATGCACAGTCACTTTGCTGACACCATGTTTGGTACTGCAAAGGATTCTGGGTGTTTAACACGCCACAAAACCCCCTAAAGTCCCTTACACTGGGCTTTTCGCTTCTCATTTCTGCAGGGAAAAACCCATGCCTCTTCAGATTTTTCTTGCTCATTCTCTGTTCTATAATTAACCTGATTTTCTCTTATAATGCCCCCCCATTTCCAAAACCCTTTCCAGCCCTTTTCTGCTGTCTGGATGCATCAGCCAAATTTGCTCCCGCAGTGCCGCAGGAATTTTGCACAATGCTTTTACGGTCTATGCAGGAAAGCGACTCAAATTTTCTTTCCCCTCAGCCTATTTTTAAGAGAAGAGAAGAGACTGGATTTATACCCCCTGCCCTTCACTACCCAAAGGTGTCTCAGAGCGGCTTACAAACTCCTTTCCCTTCCCCTCCCCACAACAGACACCCTGGGAGGTAGGTGGGGCTGAGAGAGCTCTGACAGAAACTGCTCTTTTTCAAGAACAGCTCTTATCAGAACTACGGCTGGCCCAAGGTCATCCAGCCAGGTGCAAGTGGAGGAGTGGGGGATCAAACCTGGTTCTCCCAGATTAGAGTCCATGCACTTAACCACGACACCAAACTGGCTCCCTTTCCATTTATCCAACCCCCCCAAATCTTTTATGTTATTTTGCTAATGTTTTCACTCACAGTAAACTAGATACCCTCCCTGCCTTCCTTGAGTCTCTGTTTTCACCTGTCTTTTTTCTGCAGTCATGAAACCAACTTTGTTCCAGGACTTCTACCATCTCTTTTAAGTAATTATATAACAAGGTGGAAATTACAAGGGAGTCAATACTGGCTAAATATGAGGAGAACCTTTCTAATGTAAGCGTGGTTGAGCAGTGGAACAGACTGCCTCGAGAGGTGGTGGATGCTCCTTCACTGGACGTTTTCAAGCGGAGGCTGGATGACCATCTTTCGGGTATGTCGTAGGGCTATCTTTCGGCTATGCCCCTGCAGAGTACAGGGGGTTGGACTGGATGACCTGCAAGGTCCCGTCCAACTCTACCATTCTATGATTCTATGAATGTTTCTCTTCACTCTACCATCCAAATCTTCTATATTGCTACCTGTGTTTCCCGCTCCCTTTGATAACACACTCCCAAATTTAAAACCTATTTTCCTTGATCTTTTCATAAACTTTTACATCAGATTCTTCAATCTGCTTAGAAACTGAACATGAGCACTGAGTTCATTCCAACCACCAGTGTTTAGATGCTGCTGGTCCCCTTCCCCAAGTTGTTACATGAATATGCTTTCCAAAACACCATTAATTTGACTTATTTTCAACTAATTTATCCTGTGGATTTTCTGAACTGTTAGGAACTGAACATGAGCACTGAGTTCATTCCAACCACCAGTGTTTAGATGCTGCTGGTCCCCTTCCCCAAGTTGTTACATGAATATGCTTTCCAAAACACCATTAATTTGACTTATTTTCAACTAATTTATCCTGTGGATTTTCTGAACTGTTAGGCGCTCTTTTTCTTCTACAAACGAAGCAGTCAACAACACCTGTAAGATTTTGTTTGTTCTCTTCCCCATAGCCTGTTTCCCAGCACTTTGGGGCTTTATTCTCTCCCCCCATCCCCATTCCATACTTCAGTCCGCAAACCTCCTTTTCTGATGCTAATCAACAGGCAGACATGCACCAGTTTTTCGAATCAACTGCCGCCATCTGTCTCCAAGCAGACGACTTTCCCCACACCACTCTGACCACTAGGCCTTTGAAAGTCTGGTTCCTATTGGAGGGCTTGGAGCAGGGAGAAGAGAGCACTTCTCTTCCCCCATTTTTTAAAAGATGGAATTTTGCTGCCCACATGGAATGTCCCCCCCTTCGGCATGAAGTCATCACTCCATCGTCTGCTGTGTAGCTGGAGGGATTAGAACGGGGCCTTCAAGTCCACTATTAGAGAGACAAAGTGGGCAGGTGCACTGCTGCTAACCAAGAAACTGCTTCCCCCAAATGTCCCCCCCCCAGGATTCTCAAAGTTCTCCAGGGTTTCAGCAGCCGATCTCCACTTGCCTCTTTCGCTGGCTGCTCTCGACATTCTGTTCAGCCCTCCATGGGCCAGTTCTTGAGGACTGCTTTTTCTTTTGGTTAATTGACAAGAGAGTTATTTTTCCATATATACGGTAGGGTATACCCTAACTGGTAGCAACCCTCCATGCACAGCTCCATTGCTCTGCACAGGGGCCAGCTGTTACATTTATTTATTTTGTTAACTGGATCAATCTATTTTATTAACGCGATTTATCTATTAAATTTGATTTATAACCCACCCTCCACTGCTACTGCAAGGCTCAGGGCAGGTAACAGAAGAAGAGATTGGATTTATACCCTGCCCTTCACTACCCAAAGGAGTCTCAGAGCGGCTTACTAACTCCTTTCCCTTCCCCTCCCCACAACAGACACCCTGTGAGGTAGGTGGGGACTGAGAGAGCTCTGACAGAAACTGCTCTTTTTCAAGAACAGCTCTTGTCAAGACTATGGCTTGCCCAAGGTCATCCAGCAGCTGCATGTGGAGGAGTGAGAATCAAACCCCGTTCTCCCAGATTAGCGTCCGCACACTTAACCACTACACCAAATGAACACTTTGGAAGTGGGCTGCATGGCATTATACCCTACCGAGTTCCCTTCCCTCACCAAATCTCACCCTCCTCAGGCCCCATCCCCCAAATCTCCATGTATTTCTGAAGATGGAGCTGGCAACCATAGAAAAGAGGGAGGGAGATATGGGAAAAGGTTCAGCCTATTTAATTTCCGCATGTCAGGGAACAGTTAAAGGTGCAGCACCTGGAAACTCTACAGTCCTCTATCCCTTACCCTTTAAAAACCTTTCCATTGGGAAAAAGGAAGTACTGGTAGAAAGGGACTTTCCTTTCCTTTTATTTTGGGTTTGGTTTTGGGGTTTTTTTTCCAGATAAAGCTCTAAACCAACAATTGTCAGCTCTACCTGGAGAAGCATTTGGCGTTTAATCTCTTTGCAGCAGAACTTCCCTGTTCCCTTTTTGCCAAGCTCCAATTCTCAATAAAAGAAGAGAAGAGATAAGAGATTGGATTTATACCCCGCCCTTCACTACAACCGAAGGAGTCTCAGACCAGTTTGCAATCTCCTTTCTCTTCCCCTCCCCACAGCAGACACCCTGGGAGGTAGGTGGGGCTGAGAGAGCTCTTCCAAGAAATGCCTTTGAGAGAACTTGTGACTGACCCAAGGTCACACCAGCAGCTGCATGTGGAGGAGTGGAGAATCAAACCTGGTTCTTCCAGATTAGAGTCTGCACTCTTAACTACTACACCAGACTGGCTCTCACACCAAACTGTCTCTTACACCACGAAGTACTCCCTACTAACCCCCAATATCACAGATGGTTGTTCCTGTAACCAACATTCATCGCCAATATCAATTAACACAAGGATATGCTTCCTCAATAAACCTGGCCTCCACCACACAAACCTTATAGACTTAGATTAATGGTCTCCTAAGTTTTCTAGGTTCGCTATATTCTGTGTAGCCTGGACTGACTTGGTAAAATAAGCTCTTATATTCAGGTTGTGTTACAATTCCTCTATATTTTATGTTTACATCACCTTGTTACGTAGGTTGTGTTTTGTATACTGTATAAAAGAATAAAAACTGTATTAAACAAATTAAAACAATAAACTGACATTAGTCCAATCCCCCCCCCCCCAAAGTAAATACTCAGTGTCAAGCCTTAGCAGCTGTGGCTGGACAATTCTTGTGAAACGGATTTGTTTATGTTGCGCAGTATTCGTTGTGTGTGAGCAATAAACAGAAGATAATTTTCTACAGAGTTACTACAGTAAATGATTTTCCACACATATCTTTATTGACTCTTTGTCATTTTTGTCACGGATGTCGTGTTTGGATTCCAGCCTTCAGGTGGGGGCCTGGAGATCTCCCAGGATTACAACTAATTTCCAGACGACAAAGATCTGTCCCCCTGGAGAAATTGGCTGCTTCAGAGTGTGGGCTCTATGGCATTATGCCCCTCTGGGCTCCTTCCCTTCCCTAAAGAGCCAGTTTGGTGTAGTGGCTAAGAACAGCTGTAATGTATTCAGGCCTGACATGTCCGGACATGCCCGGACTGGCCAGGCACAAACATCACTAGCTTCACGACAAAAGACAATGGGCTGCCAGTCTCCAGGAATTCGTCCAAGGGCAGCTCCAGCCCCGTTTCTCCTCTTTTTGTGTTTTTTGGGGGGGAGAGGGCGGGTCTCTGATTGACAGCCTCCCTCCCGGGGACCCAGGCGTCCGAGAATAGGGGGGGGGGGGGAGAAAAAGCCTCCCTCCCAGGACTTGGGAGGCTCCGCGTCTTCTGAGCCGGTGGCGAAGTTTAACCTGCCCAGCCGCGCCTCACCTGAGAGCCCCCGCCGAGGCATGTGCCGCTTGTAGTCGATGGGGCCATACCCGCCCGGAGGCGGCATGTCCTGCTTCACCTTCCCGACCGCCGACGCCATCCTTGAAGCGGGCAGACGGCTCGGCCTCTCGAGCGCCAGCGGCGCTTCCCAGATGACGTCACTTCCCACCGCCACCGCGCGCCTCGCCGAAAAGGAGGCCGGTCTCCGCGCCTACCGCAAGTAAGGAACTAAAAGCGCACCTGTTTTCCTCCAATGGCCGTTCGGGGGCGGGGCGGTATCTGCTACCGTATTTATAGGGGGAACGGCCCTCTGCGCCCCCCCCCCCACGGCTCTGACTCTCTTAAAATCGTTCTGTGCATTGTTCCCTCTAAGCTGAGTTAGTGTGAGCTAGCTCACAGTTTTTTAGCCTCCGGCTCACACTTTTTTGTCTCAGCTCAGGAAGGAAGTAAGGGACTAAAAGCGCACCTGTTTTCCTCCAGTGGCCGTTCGGGGGCGGGGCAGTATCTGCTACCGTATTTATAAGGGGAACGGCCCTCTGCCCCCCCCCCCCGGCTCTGACTCTCTTAAAATCGTTCTGTGCATTGTAAGTAATTTGGCTACTGCATAAATTAGTTTGCTCTGGAGCCATCTTTCCTGAGCGAAGACAAAAATGTGTGAGTTGGAGGCTCAAAAACTGTGAGCTGGCTCACACTAACTCAGCTTAGAGGGAACACTGCTCACAACTCTAATGCCAGAAGCTCACAAAGTAGAATTTTTGCTCATAAGACTCCACAGCTTAGAGGGAGCATTGGTTCTGTGCTCACTTCCCAGGTTAATTCGTCTTCCTGTCGATTGTCACCTTTTGACGTTCAGTTATCGGCATCGTAGTTGGAGCGGCTGTATAGCCGGAGTGCATTTCCCCGAGCGGTATAAAGGTTCTTTTCTTTTTCATTTTTAAAGTAAACTTTACCGGCGCGTTGTGCATTTCTCCCTAAATACGGGCTTTGAAAGAATGTGAGGGCAAAGTGCTGAGCATGTGCAGAGCGCCCGTCCTTTTAAACACCCCGGCCGCGTCTTCTGAAAGACCTGCAAATTGCAGACACCTCCCAAGTGGGCGCAGAGCCGCTCCACCTTCCACGGGATGGTTTTCTTGAATTCCTTAAAACCAAAAAGCATCCTGTAGGCAACGGCAAAAAAGATATTTGTAAAAAAATATGTTGCGTGCCGAGACTTTTCCCAGCAGTGGGCTGGAAGGATGAAATTATGGCTGAATGTACTTAGGAAGCAGTCCTAAAACATGTTTGATCTGCATTAGGCTTAACTTCGATGTCTTTGTGTGGTTTTCGTGCTGGGGAGCCAGGCTTTGACTGAAAATATAAAAAACCAGGGCTTTTTTGGTAGAAAAAGCCCAGCAGGAACTCATTAGCATAATAGGCCACACCCAACAGCAGAAACTCATTAGCATATTAGGCCACACACCCATGTTACCAGAAGTGTGGTCATCTAGCCACACCCACCTTTTGCTTCTTATTCTGTTTACCTTGTTTGTTGTCCCAGGGCTTTTTTTGTAGCAGGAACTCCTTTGCATGTTAGGCCACACACCCCTAGTGGAGCCAATCCTAATGAGTTTCTGCTGTTGGGTGTGGCCTATTATGCTAATGAGTTCCTGCTGGACGTGGCCAACTTGGGAGCCAGCCAGAATTCCGTTCCTGCCCAAAAATAGCCCTGCAAAACACAATCCACTTTACAACCGGCAGAACTTGCAAGGATGCCAGCTAGAAGCAACCCTTCTGGGGACTTTGAGCCACCCAAAATCTAATGTGAAGACACTTAATTGATTTGCTTCATGGGAAGGAGCTGCCTGACCCCAAGAACTCGGGGAGAGGCAAAGGGAGACCGTTTTTATTTCATTCCTTGTGCAACTGGGATTTCCCCGTCTTGGTTTAGAACCCAGAAGTGCATCCAAACCTGTGCTGGATTTGGGAGTATGCCAGGAGTGGGACAGGAGATTAGCCTGCACTGCACCTAAATATGCCTAAACTTTGAACCAGATTGCAATACTACCCTCTGGATGGCCAACAACAGGGCATAGAGGCTGAGGCCTTCCCTGATAAGAATGTAAGAAGGGCCCTGCTAGATCAGACCAATAGTGCCTTTAGTCCAGCATCCTGTCGCACACAGGGGCCAACCAGTCCCTCTGGAGGGCCAACAACAGGGCACAGAGGCTGAGGCCTTCCCTGATAAGAACATCAGAAGAGCCCCGCTGGATCAGACCAGTGGCCCATCTAGTCCAGCATCCTGTCTCACACAGGGGACAGCCAGTTCCCCCGGAGGGCCAACAACAGGGCAGAGAGGCCAAGGCCTTCCCCTAATGTTGTCTCCTGGCTCTGGAGTTCAGAAGCTTAGTGCCTCTGAATGTGGAGGCTCCCCTCAGTCACCGTGGCTAGTAGTCACTGATAGATTCATGGAGGATAAGTGCATCTAATCCCCTTGGAAAGCTGTTGTTTCCTGTGGCCATCATGACATCCTCTGGCAGTGAATCCCACATTTTAATCACTCTCTGTGTAAAGCAGTCTTTCCGTTTGTCTGTCCTGAACCTACTGCCCATCAGCTCCATTGGATGCCCGCAAATTCTATTATTTCTTTGACCTCTCTCTCCCCCATGTACCGTTTCCCCGAAAATAATACCTACCCAAAAAATAAGCCCTAGCAGGATTTCTGTGCATTTGTGGTATAAGCCTTACCCCGATAATAAGACCTAGTGATGAGAGTTATGACGATGTTCCAGAAGAAGATGACTTAACTGTATTTGAATAAATGTAGATTGTTGTATTATACTTAATAAAAATAAGACATCCCCTGAAAATAAGCCCTAGTGTGTCTTCTTGAGAAAAAATAAATATAAGACAGTGTCTTATTTTCGGGAAAACACGGTACTGAGAGGGAGTATCTCCTTCTACGATCCACTTGACTTTCTGCTTCGAGAAAAAGGAGAGTAGG